GTTAACTGGTAATAAAATGAAGGAATGAAGAAGTGTTGGAGTACACACAAATGAATTTTGGAAGTCTCATGGTAACTTTGATATAAATGTGGGCAATAAATTCTTCTCGGAACATCATTTAGAAATTAATAAGAAGCCAACTTCAATTTTGGTACCCTCCAGCGACCATTCAGATAATGTAATCTAGCCGTACAAGAGATGAGTAGCAGCTTTAAAGGGCTTGGTGATAACATCGCAGACTGCAGCACTGTGTGAAGCGTGTTCAAATCTCAGGTGGACATCGGTTCCGTAAAGTTTCTGGATAAGCCTTGCTGATGATTCTCAACAAGCCCGAAACCTAGATCCTGGGCTTCCTACCAATTGACTTCATCCAACTTACATCTGTTGAAGTGCATAGCGATGTTGAGCTTCCTAGTTTGGTAGCCACAGTGCGAAATGATCAACAGAAGTCTACCAGCCTTTAGGACTAGGCGACATGAAGTTGGTTGCCCTTCAGTTGCCATTCAATGTACAATTCAATATAGATAGCTCCCACTTTACCTAAAAATGATTTCTTACAGTATACGTAGGGTGAAAGGTGTGCTGTTTTCGGGGATGAAAAAAACAATCCGCAAATAGCATTCGCTAGAAATGCCTTGAAATAACATAGCTGGACTATCCTTTGCAGGACCGCCTGATCATGTTATGGTCATTTTCAATCTCCGAGGGTTGCATAGCAGGCAATTCCACAGAAGGTGGGATGACGAAATATCTACCTTTTCGCAGGCATATTCTGGATGATCTGCATAAGATAGGTCATGGGATAGAGAAAACGAAGCCACCAGCTCAAACAGTGTGGCAATGGCCTCTCATGAATCCTGATGTACGCTGTGTAACAGTGAATTGTTTGAACTGTGCCTTTAAGGTCAAACGTCAACGTGGTAACTAAACCCAGGGTCAAAGTTATACGCCGCATGGCAACAAATTCATACTGACTATTAGGGACCATTTTTTCATAAACATTAATTTCCAACTTTTATAGATTCATTTCCAATGTGGCCTGAAGTATTTCTGACAATCACCACAAATACAGAGTGCAATAAAAAATGCTACATAAAAGTTTTAGTAAGTAAAGTGTTTCTCAGTTTTTGATTACAGACAACAGAACACATTTCTGATTGAATATGATAAAGTTGTTGCAAAGCAATGGCTGCTGATATCTGAAGGTAGGAGGTCATCATCTATACTCTAATGTTATGACAGAAAATTTCGTCAAAACATTCAAAATCGCAGTGAACTGCACAAATCCGAATCCAATTCTAAACCCATATAATAATTTTGAGTGATTCATTTTTTACTAATATGATGGTCAGTCTCAACCGGACTTTCAAGTATGGAATATCTTATTGGTCTGACTTGTCCTTTTGCCACTACGGATGATGTTCAGTTGTGTAAAAATGAACTTGCCTAATCATACACCCAATGCAGCTGATTGTTCAGGAGACGTCAGACTGATAAATGCTCACACAGGTGACCTGATAGAGTCTGACTTTATTTCATGAAGACTTTATCAGCTGAGTGAAGACTCATCAGCATAATTCTGCTACAGTCAGTATCCTTTTCATAGGATGTCTGCATTGTTTCGCAATTTTACCTATGACAATACCTGTAAACTTAAATTTTATAAACGGTGGTGGATAAAGTCTTGTATCTCGACACGAACTTATTTTTTTAATGAGTAGATCGAAAACAGCGTTGAATTCCCCCTGATTGAGTTTCATATAGACAGAAAACTCCATTTCTATATACTAGATGTTTTACCCGATCCGTTTTTTACTGCATAGCGACATGATTGAAGAGGGTAAAAACTGGTCTCGATGTTAGTTTTCTTCCTTTCTCATTTATTTATTTTTTCATTACTAAAATATTTAAGTAAACAGTATAGATGTTTATTTATCTCAGCTTGGAAATAAAATTCCATTCCACCTCCTAAAGAGATACTTTTAATAAGCGCAGCAAAAGTATACCTTCTCCTCACTTATCATTTCTGTATAGAGACTAGAAGTGTTGTCATAGGCTACGCTGCAACTAATCCTAAAGATAAGAGACATGAATGTATGAAGTCCACATTAAATATATTTAATGGCCAGAAATAGTGTGGGACGTCCTGGAAGCTTTTTGGAAATGGACCAGATTAGTACACCGTCAGGATTATTCTTCATCAAAAAAGTAAGAATGATTTCTAATACACTAAAGATCACTTAATTTTAAGAAGATGTTTAGAGTTTCTTAATTGCCATATTTACTCAAGTAGTTTGTTTACGTTTTGTTCGACAAATCAGATGTAAGGCAGCTGCTTGGACTACCATTTTGGACAATGTTTAAATGCTACACTTATTAGAAACAGTTTGCAATTAAGATTTTATTTTGTTGTGATCACTGAGCTATCTTATTTATTATTATGTATGTTAATATGCATGTAGCATGAGTACTACTGCTTGCTTATCACGTGACAACAGTAATTTTATTTCAGGCCTAACCACTAAGACTTCGCTCCAAATTTACCAATACTCATGGGGGGTAAAGACAATTCACTAATGGGTTATCTCAGTTGAAGTGGGTTTACTAACCAATCTGATATCCTGACCAAAACATGCTGATTACGTTTCTAATAAAATCACTGAATGAAGTGACAAGATAACGTGTCATACCGCAATACGTGCTTCACAACTAAAAGAAGTCTGCAAAAATTTCAGAAAGCAATACCAATCCATGTGGCTGCAAAATTTTTAAGTGTTAATCAACATGCGTGCATCAGACTTCCTAGATGTGGTATAGGAACTTTCCCAAAATTAAGATCTACGCTTAAACTGCAAACGCCGACAACACTTAGAGCCGGACAAAAGTCTTCAAAGCAGTGGAGTAAATCGACAAATAACAACATTTCCACCACATAAATTCTGGTATCTGATACTAAGGTGGATCAACCCTCATTCCCAATTGTTCAAGGATTCTGTGGCTATCAGGTAGTGTAGCGCCAGGAAACAAAAGACAGCTTTTTACGTTTCGTGATTATCTTAAAATGATTCTGAACAGAAAACCGTTAAAATATCTGAGTGGGATAGATGAATGGCTCTTAGTTGAAAACATACTATACTAGTTACATTGAAATTATTTCGTTTTAACAGTTACATGACAAAGTCACTGACTAATTTTTGATGTATTTGTGGAATTATTTCGCACTACAATCACAGATTACAATTTCTACTATTTATTAATGACGGATAGAGATTAGCAGTGAGACCCAGGAAGCGCATTTCGCTTTATCTGCCAGCCAGTATCCTTCAGTAATATATAATTGAAACACAAGCAGTATAGAGCCATCCGTATAGGAGCCCATATACCAATAGCGACCGACCAATTTAGTCCACTCAGTGACGGGATAATACAAGTAACAATATTACTTTCTACTATGTTGCATTTGCTTACATAAAGCAGTGACAGAGATCAATCACACTGAACCATAGCTAGTGTTTAAAAAGGTCGAAAATATTCCGTTTGGATACTGCCTAAAAATCATATTCTAAAAACAGGTTAAATATATTTACTTCTGTTAGAAACGTATGGCTTTAAGATATAAGGCATCCTTGAAAATGATTACTGACCTGTTGCACCAAAATTTGGTATAATGAGTATTACAAAAAGAAACAGAAGATGCAAAAAATTACTACTTTGTGAAATTCTGTACAAATTCTCTCCTTATTTTCCTATACCTTCTTTGGTTTTCCTCTCATATTCGCGAAAAGATATCATACAACAGATAAACAAGTCAACACAGAAACTGGCATTACTGCAAAGCAGTGAAAGTCGCTACATTTCATGTAAGCACACCAAGCAAGGAGGTGATAAGGTGAAATATAAGGAAATCGAAGAAAAAGAAATTGAAGTGGTAGAACGTTTTGATGAGATAAAAAAGTGAGAATATACGAATATTGAGTTTATTTGACAACTAAGGTGAGGACAATGTGTTGGTGTACTTGAGCTACTTTGAAATCGATTCTGAATTATGATACCCAGAGTTCCAAACTACTGGTTTCCATCATCCTAAACTGTAACCAAAAAGTCTGCAATTCCATACATGGTACAAACCAATAGTCAGAGATTTCATGCAGTAATAATAACACATTTTGCTGTCGTTACGTCCAACCTCTTTCCAAGCCTAAACCTACTTAATCCAACATTCTGCGATGAAGCAGGTGTTGTTTAGCCTTGCATTCAACAAGTCTTAACTACCTAAGTAGAGAGAAGTCCACAATTTCATCAACTGACTCCCCCTTCTTCTCTAAAACCATACGCGACTTCTTTGTTACTGACGTGGTAACACACGACACATGGCCCATTCTATGAAGGCATCGGTGATCGTACATATAAAGCCTTTCCAGAACCCCTACCTTCGATGGCCATTTTTCAAAATCAAATAGAAGAACAGAGGAAATTGCAGCACAGTACTCTCAAACTCTAGCAGGCAATCAGATTTCATAACGAAAGACAACTGAGCCTTTGTATCCTAGTGAAGATGTAGAGGATGTAGTAGATGTAGAGAAGCTTTTAGTAATATCACTGAAGATATATGATAGTAGACAGACTAGATTAGTTTTAAATGGAATATTTCTCTAAGAATGTTGGATTCATCACGACCAAGTTCGAGGTTTAATAGGCAGAGGATTTTGAATTTAATTAGCTCCGAAGACATCTTGCTTCGTGAAGTGTGTTTTGCGCTGACACTTTTTTAGTAATACTTGTTTCACTGTGATAATTACTGATAATTAGAATGTTTAGTTTCATTCAAAAGTGAAATAATGAATAAGGCGGAAACAAGATTCAAATTTAAGGGTCAAATTCTTCATCAAGAAACGACTTTTTTACATCGACACACGAAACAAGATACATGAGATGAAATTAACTGAGACTGTCACCTTTATTCCTGAACAGTATCAAATGGGTAAAAAATAAACACTATCTGATGAAGTTGAATGTATTTATACAGTAATGTTGAATAACAGTATACAAAGTGTTTATTTCTTTATCAAAGGAAAATCAGGCGCTTTTAAAAATGTTACGCAGCTAAGTGCGATTACAACTTATGAAATATCAAAAATAAAGTTTGTGGATTCTGTTTGTACCTTCATCTGTTATTCAACTTGTTGGATAATGTTGGAAGTATTCGACGTGTAGAGTTAGCTGTCAGGGATGATGATGGCGGTGTAGCAGGACGTGATATATCAGTCTTTTTGCTTGCCGATGAAAACGCTTTCTTGTTGACTTTGGTTGAACAGCCAACTGTACTGTCACTGGCTCTGACAATGGAAGCATCAGGTTTATTTAAGTGAGGCTTGGAATCGAGGTAATCATGTTTCTTTCTTGAATCTGATTCCTCAGGCTTGTAGCTGTTAGACAGTGGATGGGACATTACCTCGTCAATCCAAGCCACGCTTCTTTGAGAGCTAGAAAAATAAATGTACAGAGAGAGGAATAGTACAACTTAACGTCTGCATATCCTACAATAAGATAGTAAATAAAAGATAATAACTTAGATTCGGAAATGAAATGAACATCGAACAAAAGTGCTGGAACCTGAATATAGAGGACCTATGAGTGGCCAAATCTAAAACGATGCTCCAGGAGTGGTCAGCATTTACTCTAAATGTAAAGATAGGTAATGAAGTGTTGGAATGTGTTGACCGCTTCACCCATTTCAGGAGTTGCATCAGCCTGAACGGGTTGATCGCTGACGAAATCTCGTCTCGGATTCAGAAGGCCCGTTTGGAGCTTGTCAACTTACGTCATCTGTGGCTCTAACTGACGATTATATATCTACCAAAGGACGAGTATACTGCACCACAGTGCATTCTGTCCTACTTTATGGCTGTGAGACATGATCGCTGAAAGCTGAAGATATGAAGTATTGACAGGATTTTGATCACACATCCCTGCGTAGCATCGTCCACGTTTAATGGAATTACCGTATGAGCAATGTTGAAGCCAAGCTAAGTGTACTAGGCAGGAAAGGCAAGCCAACTAATGAAGTTGTGAACCTTCATGGTCTTAGGGATCCCAGTCAGGTGGTCCACCTCTCCCTACATGACTCGGACCAACAGTTAGAGACTTCATGCACTATTCGCAGGTCTTGATCTGGTCATATGTCCATATACGGACATATACTACTCCCCTGTATATTACCGCGCCCTGTATAGATGTGCTTTGCTGAAGGAATTTATATTAAGCTGGAAGAGGATCAAGGTGACCTAATCAAGACCTGCGACCAGTACATGAAGTCTCTGACTGTTGGTCTGAGTCATGTGGGGAGATGTAGACCATCTGACTGGGGTCTGTAAGGCGATAGAAATCGGTGTTTGAGAACTTTTTATGATAGTGGCTGTAAATCGGTCACAATAGAGTAGACATATTCGCTCTTTTACATGTTCTAAAGCTTGAATATTTGCACTAACCTCTATCTTCAAGTCCTTTATTCTCTCATACCAACTTATATACTTTGATATAACTTTTTCTATCCACTTGCGCTTTGTATACTACTACGAAGTTTGTCAACTTGAACCGATGCACATGAGTTTGAGATTCTCTCTTGATTTTGTCTGTCTGTTCGTCTCTTAACTCACTATGTATAACACCAAGTTGGTGACTGGGAGGTTGCTGGTCAGTTGCATAAGCGATCAACATTTTCACTTCAACTTCAGTCGTCACTCCAAATTAAAATATTTGCATAAGCACACTTTTGTTCTCATTGTGCAAAGTAACGATAAACACTATATGAAGTATCGTCTCGAAAAAGTATACTGGAAGTCTTAAACTTAAACTTGGTTTTATTATGGCAGTACTACAAATATTAGTATTATGGTTCACTTTATTCTTTCCTGTGACCTGTCTTTGTAAAACATAGTGTTTTCGCGTGAACTAGATCTTCTTGATGGCCTGACCACTACAAAAAGCTCTTAATCGACCACCATACACACTTGCAACTCGTCAAGAAATAACAACTGCAGCCACAGAACTACAAGTGAACATAAGTCCTCCAACGAAAGTCGAAGTCCTGAATGCCAGAAGGAAACTGAAATGCGAGAAAGCAGCAGGACCAGATGGAATTACACAAGAAACACTGAGAACAGATGCAGGGACAACAGCGGACATGCTCACACCACTATTGCAGAGGGTTTGTATTGAAGGAAGGAAAGGTACCTGCCGACTGACTGTGAGTAGGGCTACCTTGTCAAACTGGCGAAAAAGGAGCAACCTTAATGTTTACATGAACTGGTGTCGAATCATGCTCCTGTCCACACCAAGCAAAATATTAAGCTTCACCACTCTGGAGAGACTAAAGGATGTGCTGGATTCAAAATTACGACCGGAACAGGCTGGCTGGCTTCAGGAAGTAGAAACCATGTGCGGACCCAATTCGCAATGCTACGCATCATCGTAGAACAGAGTATAGAATAGCAGTCAACTCTTCACCTTACCTCAACTTCACCGACTTTGAAAAGGCCTTCGACAGCGTCGACTGAGAAGTAATTTGGCAAGCAGCTGTTTCAACACTTCGGCTTAGCGCCACAAACCTTCATCAACCTCATTCAACAACTATATAAAGACACCACATGCCATGCAATTCACAATGGGAAGCCTAGTGATGCCTCTGAAGTGAAGACAGGAGTAAGACAAGGCTGCCACCTACTATCACCCATGACATTGCTGATTGTGGTGGACTGAATCACGCAGTAAACAGTTGGAAGCGAGAAGAGGAGGATACGCTGGACTGATGAATAGGTCCTAGAAGATTTGGTTTTTCGCTGATGACTTGTGTCTAATATCGCACAAACTCGAAGGTCTACAGGTGGACACTAACACGTTGACACAAGAGGTATGGCAGCGAAGACGGGACCTCAAGGGAGTGTAGAGAAGACAGAGGTGATGAAGATACCAAACCAACACCAACACCACCACCACCACCAACATCAACAACCATCACTAATCACCATCAACGGGAAAAACTTAAGGAGGTAGCCTGTTTCACCTACCTAGGCAGGGCAGTATCGTTTCAACTACAGGCGGTGGCGTCACAGATGAGGATGTCAAAAGCAGGATTGGAAAAGCAAGACAAGCGTTCATTAACCTGAAATCAGTGTGGAGATCTTCTGCACTCAGCATAAATCGCGAACAAGATCCGGATTTTCAACACCAACGTGAGTCAAGTCTGTGCCTCTATATGTGTGAGAGACTTGGCGCGTTACGAGAGGGCATCTCCAACAATCTACAGACATTCATCAACAACTGCCTACGCTGACTCGTTACTGAAGTTCAGATGGCCAGACTACTAAGAATAAGCAACAAGGAAGTCTGGCTGGCTGGCTGGCAACGGACCAACCAAGAACCTATCGCTCAACAAATATGAAGAAGGAAGTTGAGGTGAATTGGGCATGCACTGAGAAGACCATTCGGAGACATCACGTGCCAGGCCCTCGAGTGGAACCCGGATGGGAAATGGCGAGTTGGGCGTCCCAGCTGAGGATGACATGGAGTAGATTGTGTGATGAAGAAATGTGAGCATGTGGGCATTTGTGGAGCCAGGTTGAGAGGACAGAGTGGAATGGAGACGTGCTAGTGAAGCTCTGTGTTTCACTAGGAACCCAGAAGACAAATAATAATAATAAATCTTGAATATGTTAGAGTGTTTTGAAAACTGCTCTATTCCGAAGGTTTTTAACTTAGGAAGAGATGAATCTGAAAATAGAAAGTGGCACAACTGTTGAAGATTTTATTTTCCAGACATTCACCTAGAAAGCAAATTTCGTTAGTTGATTAAATCCATGAATATGTAGTATAAGCTGTTAAGATAAAATTGTGATGCCCAAACACAATTATTATTTCGACAAATTATAACCGGAATATCTTTTTAAAATGAATACACAAATGGATAGGGTTAATGTGAAACTTTGCTATCCTCTTTAAAACAGGTTTAAAATGAAATTTTTCATTGCTGAATGTGCACTCAGTAACGTTAAGTATATAACCTTAAAGAGGACATGAGCTGGTTATTTATATCCATGACTTAATCAAAACCTATAAACCAGTTCAGCACGTGGTTTAAAAAGTAATTAACTTTTCGGCGTCGTACGATAGCAAGTACACCTTGCTAGCTAAACAAATGAAGTGGAATCCAGGACGTACATTTCGCTTTTTTGGGATTCGTCAAGTCGAGGCACCTACTTCTGAATAAGTGTTGTTGTTGGCCTGACTAAGCCACTAACCTAGAACTCGTCAGCATCAACGCAGCAGAGTTATCTTTTAGGCTACTGAGTTACAATAGCCTCCCTTTGTGAAATGGGTAGATTTTGGGTGTTATGGCTTCTTAATTTCTATTGTTGATTGGACTGAATTGACTGGACACTATTGACAGGAGTTCATATTCCGAGAATCGCCGACTGATTCAGTCCACTCAAAGATAAGAGATTACAGGCATGAACACCGAAATAAGATAGCTGGAATGGAAATACAAGCGCCTTATAGTTTCGTTCCGGTTAACTAAGAGATGTACGCAGCATGAAAAATAGACGTTTCTCTAGTATAAATCCTTTATCATCCTTATGAGTCTGAGATAATAGTTAGAAAATATGTTTAGTGGTTATTGTGTATGTGTGCAGATATCAGCCATCCTCAATGGAATACGGAACACTGATTGGGCTCTGAGCAACCTAATATTCAAAAACTTGTATGTTTCATTTATTGTAAACATAACTGGTGAATTTAAGTAATTTAAACGGTTTTACTTTCCTCGCAATAAGCATCCATTTATGATAAATTCGTTGATCGTGACTGGCAGAAGGATCTAGGACGCGGGTTCCGTCCTACTTGGGACTCGTCAGCTGAGCGTACCTGCACCCCAGTCATGTTGTTCCCACTGCGACTCGAACCTTGTACCCATCGCTTCAAACACCAAAGCGCTACCCACTCTGCCACGGATGAACGACAGCCCCTTCTTGTACAACGGGTAGTAGTTATTACTATTTATTAACATACTTGTTATTCTCCGTTGTTCTGTTCGGTCGAATTGTTCGGCCTCTATTGGCATATGGGCTCCTATGCGGATACCTCCATATTGCCTGAATGTTAATTATGATGGATACGGGGTTCGAGTCCCATTGGGAACAACACCACTCACTGGGGTGCAGGTACATCTAGCTGACTAGTCGCAAATAGGACGAAATGCGCATCCTGGTTTCTTCTGCTAGCTACAACCAACCAATTTATCATAACTGACATTCAGGTAGTATCGAGGCATCCGCATACGAGCCCATATGCCAATAGAGGTCAAACAATTCGATCGAACAAAACAATGGAGCAAAACAAGTATGTCAATAAATAGTAAAAACATCCATTTGAAGTAAAAATATTTTAATATCAAAGGCTACATTCATTAGGACTATCTCTGGAAAAGTGAGATAAATGAAACATATACGGAATATGGAGGTATTCGATAGAACTGAACTCCGTGTTTACGTTGATAATCTACCAGCGGTTAGTGCATAACAATTTTGAAGTTACACTCGAAAAATTATCTCCGTCTTATGGCATCGTAAGACATGAAGCTTAACTGCCGAACTACCTTTCGTTTTCATGCCTACTAATGAAAACTATTGTTTTTACTGCCCGCCCATTTGACACTGACTACATTTTATACTTCCTACATTATCAATGACATTCAGGAATGAATATGCTACTGACCAACAAGATATAAAAGCCACCAGAAAATATTGAATTCTTTTTATGAATACAGCAGACATTCTCCTTGACTTTTAGGTTTACGAGTTCAAATCTTAAAAATTTCAAGAGACAGTGATCGAACGTTGGAGTTGAGTTACTGTCACACTTTTTTATTCAATGTTATTCATGAAATAATTAGCATTTACCTTGAATTTCTGCCTGTTCTACTAGTCCTTTCATTTTTTGTACCCTCACTGACCAATACGCCTTTAATCTGTCGTCTATCATAGTTCGGAATTTTGTCCCCGTAAATGTCACATTTAGGCTTTTGTTGTTCTGTTGGCTGCTTGATTAGATGGGTTTGATGGTTCATGACTTGTTTTCAGGATTTAAGGTCGATTCCTCGTTGTTCTTAACTTGATCTGGAATATTTATATTTTGATTCCTAACGGCTGGCTTTACAATTTGAACTGGCATAGTCTTTGATGCACTTGGATGTATTTTTGATATACTACCTGTAGAATTACGGTTATGCGGGAATAAGTAATTGGTAAGGGGTGTAACCGCCTTCTGAGTGCAACATTCTCTCTGATCGATTGGACAAGTTAAGACTGCTGTTGGCGGTTGTGTTTTGAAGTTGTTACATTTTGCACAGAAGTTTGAATCCGTTATTGAAGATTTCTGCCGGGGATATATCATTTTATCGATAAAAGAACCATTTTCAGACTTCACATGTTTATTTTGTTCACTCCCAGGGATTGGTATCTGGCCTGAAGCTTCATTCAACTTATGACTTTGTTGACATTCCCATAAATCAATCGCTTTTCGAGCACGTAGAATCCTATCTGAAAATCTTTCACGTGACACACTAAGGTCTGCTATTTTACGGTCTAGGTATGACGGTTCCTGATACTGGGAGTCAGTATTTGATGAAATACATTGAGGTGATTCAAATTCTCGTCCAAACTCTTGAGGAAAAGCAGATTCTAATGGACCTGGGAAATGTTTTTCAACTAAATTATCAGGTAATAACAAACTGCTTGTCAGTCTATGTGGAATATCTGAATAGCAATTGGACATAGGTAAATTTATTTCGCCGGAATTATCAAAATTAGAATTTGGTGCAGGCGGTGGCGGTGGTGATACATTAGACCGATACATTACATCAGTGGTTTCTTGTAATGGAGCATGGCCGTGGAAATAGTTGTACTCCTCTAGTTGTGGATTTGTCTTATATTGCTGCTGTTCCGTGTTACACTGAATATAAGTGAGAAAGTTGAATATATATAATGTGAAACAGAAAGCATGACTGAATAAACACTTTATAAATCCTAAGGTTTGAGTGCATAATTATCATAATGAAAAATGATTTCTAATTTCGCATGATATGCTTGAGGCGTTCATAGGTGGGTTTCTCAATTTTTTCCTAGTGATACCAGAAATTTCACTTGATATACAATCGAATACGTAATCTTGTGGGTAGTCATAATGTTGGGATAATTAACTTCCAGAGTGACAGTTCATTAATATCTCTTACCATTCGACAATTCACCAGATCTTTGCTTTTTATTGCTGCTTATTAACGAAAAGATTGGCTAAGTGAAATAAAACTGAGAAAATAAAGTTTACATGACAGTTTCTTTACCAGTGACAAGTAACCAGATAAACCATCACGAGCCAACTGCTACATTCACAGTGATCATTATTAATCAAATCTTGAAAAATGCGATTACATTTTAGATACATCCATGACATTCATTTTGCAGTTAGTATTATCATGGTATGAAGAATTGTTTGTTCCTTAGGTACACATGTAACATCTTTTGACTGTCTGAGATATCTGTGGTTTGGCAGACTAGTATTTATACTAGGTGATGATTGAAGTTGAAGTAAAAATTCGGACCGCGGTGGGATTAGAACCCTTGACCGCCGTAGTTCAGTTGGTAGAGCACCTGGCCTGTAATCCGGTGGTCTTTGGTTCATATACCACTGTGATCCGAATTTTCATTTCACCATTCAGTATAAATACTAGTCTATCAGATCACAGTTATTTCAGACAGTTAAAATGATAAACTGCATGATGCGCCCACTTTCTGATTCAGTTAGATTTGGATGAGAAGTCCTGACTGAGAAGCTAGTGTCAGTACGACCAAGCGGTAGTAGCGTGTCACGAATTCCTATGGTAGTCAGATAAAACCCTTGTTGCTTGAAGTGAAATAAAAATGCAGTCAGCAGTCGAACCTAGCAGCTTAGTTTGTAGAGAACTGGGCTGCAAACCCAGTGATCTGTAGTTCGAATCCGTCAGCAGTCCGAATTTTCATTTCACCTTCAATCATCACCCAGTATCAACACATATTATATTTTAGGTTAAAGCATTACTACCTGCGTGTAAGCGAAAAAGTTTTTCCTACTTTTTATGACAGGAAAACTTATGCGTGCATAGTGATGACTAAGAACTGCTGAATCATGAAGTTTTCGTACGAACTGGGTAAAACTGAAACCTGATAGCAAAACAGCAGCAAGTTATTTGAAGAGGAGCTGTTTATAAAGTGATACTCGTGTGTTATTTTGAATCTGAGTTGTACTATCTTTCACATCTGAATAAAGAAAATTTTATTTGGAATTTGAACATCTCTTGAAGTTGGATCAGAGGGTTAGATTCATCGAATACTGTTGGGATTTCCCCTCTTCGTATGGTTGCATACATGTTTGTTGAGGTGAAATCTTGACTGAACTTCATAACATCTACTGATATTTTTTTAAGATATGGATGGTATTTCTTAGAAACGCTGAGAATTTTTGAAAGTACTCAGGCAGTTTAAAGAAGAGAGCATTTTTGACCTCATTATCGAGAAAGATGACTGACAAAAGGTATACACATTCATTCATCCAAGTTCAGGAAGAATCACAAGGTTATTTCTGAAAAATCTTTCCGCTAAAGCGAAGACCAACTTACGTCAGTGTCTCAAAAGGCATGTGAAATAACATCACTTTGTTGAGTCATTTCATATTTTATTTTGAATTATTCAATAATATGAGTTAAGTTAAACTCATTCCGATGCTTTTCAGTCTGTTTTTGAAGTGAACTTCGCCCACAACTACTTCCGATACTAAACAGCCTAATCTTTATTAGCCTTTCTCTCCAATCAAACAACTTTGTGATTTGCCTGCTTCATCTTCTTATCAATCGAAGTATAGGATATTTTGAAATATTCAAGCAACTTCTTTATCGGCTTATCAATTATGACCAAGTTTGCTACTTTAGGATAGTTGTAGTGAATTAAAAGTCTTGAAAAACAATGTATTTATTTAATTTGAAGCTTTTTTTGTTTTACTGAGAATCATTATGGGAAAGATAAATAAACATCCAAGTTTGTCATCTGGAATGGAATACAAATTCTAAACCAATTTCATCGTGTTTTATGTTTATTTCTGCTGCATACATTGATGTCTTCAATGTATTTTTATTTTGTATTTCTGGTCTTGTGTTCGTGTGTCTATTGAAGTAGTTTGCTTAGATACCATAACATTTTATTCGTTGTAAAACTTTTGATATTTTCTGTTATAAAAAGCCTTCCAAATTTAGACATATCTAAACAACGTTTTCTAAAATAACCAGAATTATCATACTGTATACATATGTTATTGTATTAGGTTGGATTTTTAAACTATTGCTTGATTTCCCTGAGAATTAAATCCTTAGTATTCGGTGTTATAATCGTCCCAGTTTCGCTCACTTAGACTTCATAAAAACAAATTTTACTAACCTTGAAGGAATGTAACATCTCAAAATCTTTCCAATGAGCATTTTCCAAAGGCAGTGTTGAAGAGTTGTTTCCAGAATGACTGAAGTTGTCAAAGTCCGACTTGTATGGAGTTTCTGAATGTGTCGTAGTTACCTGGACAGAAGATTGCTGCAGTGCTTTCCTAAATACCGTAGCAGCTGTCATGGCTGCCACCATAGCTAAGGCAGACATATTTGCTTGGTTATTCGCTGCAGAGCTGATTGAAGACTTACAAGCATCACTATTCGAAGAAAAAGGAACCGATAGAGCTGAGGATACATCTCTAGCCAGCGGGATTCCATTACCAATCTTGTTCACAATACATCTCTCAGGTGATTCTGCATCAACTGCTGTTTGACACTCACGGTCAATGCATGATCTAGCCATTCTCGGATTCATTGGTATAACATCAGCAGTGATCTTTGTCTTATCAGACACGAATTTAGAATTATACAGTTCCGGTTTGTTGTTCACTTGGCTGTTAATAATTTCTTGATTGCACTCATAACAAACGTGGTCCTTTTTTGTTTCTTTAGAAGATTCAGTTTCTAGTTGATTCTGTCGTAAGTTGGTCAACTGAAGCAACTGTTGCATATGCTGAATTAGTACAGATCTTGATTTCTGAATAAAAGCAAGCGTAAAGTATAAACTATGTTAGATTAGAATTCATATTCCCTCAGATTTTCAGAGTCGATTGCAAACACTTAGTGTATATGTGACTACAACATGGATACGCTAAAATGTATGAAGTTATATTTTACTCAAAAGCACACAAAATAATGCAGACATTCTGAAACTACATTCTTCCACCTAAGTTAAGCAAAAATTAAGACAAGTGTTTCTTTAAAAACTTATGTTTCTTGGAGTATTTCTTTATGCAAATGCAAAAGCGAAAGAAGTTTTGAATAATAAGCTGAATTTATATTTGTCATTTACATGGAAATAATGATATGACCCCGAATCCGTTTTCATTACCTCTAAGTTAACAGATTTATGATTCACTGTGAACTCGAAATAAAATTCTCTCAAATATCTTGATATGTGCTGACATTTTTGGTATAATAGTCTCAAAACAGACAGACTGCATTGACTTAATAGAAGCACCTATTCCCGTTCACTAAAGAATCTGTGGAGAATACTCATGATCATGTGTGTGTTTTCTCAAAACTAAAACTAAAAGCATTTGCTTTTTTGTGCACTTTAGGACCATAACAGACAATTTGGATATGAATACGTAGTCAAGTAGTCAAGTCTTAAACTCTCTGCTGTTAGTGTAACTGAAAAGTTGGAAAGTATTTGTTTTATCTCATTGTACACCAGAAATACGGTTGAGCAGAAAAAAATGTGCATAAGTATGGCTTACGCAATAAATCTGTGAAAAGTATAACTTTATAGTTGCATAAGCCTGACTTAACTAATCTGTCACACCCAATTATCAAATAGTTACCTGACATTAAAGTTTTTTAAAACTTAGTTGTAATTATGGGTGGAATAAAATGAATAGTTCTGCACATACGCCCATCTTATCGCCTCTGATTCCTTAAAACTCAGACATTTAATTCGAGGGCAGTACTGAAATACCTTTAATGAGTTTCAGAGACTTATTATCGAAAAGCGATATTTGCATAAAATATGCATGAAGCATGAATGGTAGAATTTTTATACCATAGACTGATAAAGTAAAAAGTGAAGTATTCTTAGTGTTACAGACTTAAAACAAGATGAATGCCCTCAGGTAAGTATAACAATGGATATTTCAAAAATAATCGTCAGTAGAATTTTCAAAAAGATGAATAACTATCTTACCTTGAAGGCAAGATATTTCTTGAAATAATTACCTGCTTTCACTGCTTCTCTTCGTCTATATAAATGAAAGCATATTTCTATTAACTCAATTGATAGGGCAAATTGTTTCGTGTCTACTTTGTCGAAGTGGAGCAGTTGGCTGAACTTTAATATTGTATGATAATCAATAAATTTGTGGAGGCTAGGCATTTTCGTTAAAACAGCGAATTTCTTTATCTCTGCTTGGGAAAATAAACTATTTCCATGTAGAAACTTAATCTTAAGTTAATTATGAGCTCAGCATCTTTAAATTTATTCTTCGTTAATGAGATCAAGGAGTAAAAGATTAAAGTTTAATGAAGTAGTAAATCGAATACTCGTGTACTTTATCTGTTTAAACTCAACAAAATATCCATCAAAGTTTTAAGTAAAAGGCCTAGATAATGAAATCTGAGGAAAACCAACGTCGAATGTGATAATTGACTCCATGATTTAGCCCGCATTCTTGTTATAAATGAAAATCAAAAGTAATGTGAAGCCATTCATGTAATAAGTAAACATATATCATAATTCTGCACACTACATGATATTTCTAACACCGAATTCCATTCTGGCTGTTATCAAACAAAATGTAATCGGTTCGTGCTTAAACAGTCAGGAACTTTCATAGATGCAGTGAAAGAGACGTGACTGCAGTTTGCTAAAATTTGATTTTAAAAAATTGAACTTTATAACCGGTGTAATTGTCACTTAGGGTCAAAATAAGGAGAACTTTTGTATGTGATTCTTTTGAATGTACAACTGAGATGTGAAGCTGTAAATTGCCAAAGCCTTAGTTGTACACGGGTGTTTATTTCTAGCTCATTTTAACGGTTTGACTGAGTTTTGTAAAGAACGTTCAACAAGGTTCTCTGCATAGCCAGATGTTTTAATTCTGTAATTCCCTGAAAGGACTTCTCCAAAGATTTATGTTTAAGACTTAGTAAAGACTCTACCATGGAATTTACAGAAAAATGATGGTGTAGCAGTGAAACCACCCACTGGCCCTCTTCTTAACAACTGTTCTACAGCTAGCCTTGAGAATAGTACGATGGTCACAAAAGCCGACCAACCATTTATATCCAAAAGGTATCAGGAATTAGAAACTCTCTATGAAATACTTTTAGAGAGTAGTCGCCTATCTGGATTTAAAGAGGAAAATATGAAAAATAGGATGATTACAGAATAAATCCAATCAGCTCCAAATAAAGTACTTTTGACGAACCTAAGACTCACAGGTAACATTGCTGCTAAAATTCTTCGTGAATGTTTGCAACTGACCCTAAGTAGAATATTATATTCTAGAAAAATCCGTGTTGCTTATTCATTCCAGAAGCTGATTTGTTATTGTGTAAGACACAAGTCGATGCATTGGTCTTCATCATTCTTCCTTTACAAGTTCACTTGCTTTTGCGGAGCTAAGTGTATCAACCGTTCTATGGGCTCGCTTGACAAAGGAATTCCTGAACAATACCCAGGTTCTCTGCTGAAGTGTGAGCTCGAAACTTTCTTTAGCTCCATCGTTGAATACCTTTCTGATTCCTTTGGAAACCAATGGCTGCCAACTTGACGTGTTGGTCACACCCACATATTACAATGACCCGATGAGCTACGTTCCTAGAGTGCTTGTTCCCTCGAGGTCCAACTCAGCCAGAAAAGTCTGTTGGATAGTGGTGAGATGAAAAGCAATTACCGTTTAAGTATAAATTACCATATCATGATGGGGGTCTGAGGGTGAAGTCGTACTGCTGCTAGCTGGCTGGGGTGTGACGGTAGTATGGTGTTCCACTTGGATGACCAGTAGTGCCACGAAGATTCTGCCATCTCAATGGGAACAGAAGGTTAGAAAAGGTTAGCCTCAGAAATGGCACCATCCTCACTGCCATATAGTCTTCTGATACCTCTGCTGCGGATTCTCTCCATCCAGCGTTAAAACAACCAAACCCCAAAATAACATCCTGCAAAAGTCTGTGTGTGACAGACCTGAAACAGACGTCTCTTAGGCTCTGCAGCCACACAAGTCTTTTTCTCTCTCAAGCACCCTAAGAAGGACTAACCTTCCATCGTGTGGGCGGTAAGGAAGTGTCACCGGCCAGCACGGTTTCAGCAGTACATAAAATCAATTAAACATATATATCCCCTCAACTCTGTCTCTTCCGTTGCCTTCACCTCCTGATACTAAAATTAAGCCCATTAAGCTTTACCCAACCTCTTACTTTACTTTACAATCAGAGCCATCGAAACTCCACTCCTAGCCTTCTAAGGAGCCACCATCAAATCCATTAGGAGCTTTCAACATCCACACTCTGTATCAAATAAGACAGCTCACATCGAACTCCCATAACTCTGGAATCTCTAATCATGGATATATGCTGTATCTCTGAGATAAGTATACGGCAGCGGAGTGTGGTTAATATATTGACCTCACCTGACTACAGTGGTGAATCTTTGAAATTCATTTTAAGAATATCCAAAGACCAAGTGGCTAGCTCTCATAGAAGCGCCAGTGTAGGCGTAGCACTGAGTTGTAGAGGAGAAAGTCTACTTCTTGACTGGATACCAGTTAATAACCATCCATGTGCTGTACAACTGAACTAAGAAATATTGTAAGACCAACCGATGCTTATTCGTAATCTGTACATACGCACCCACGGACTGTAGTTCAGGTGATGCAAAGAGTGAATTCTGTAAGAAGCTCCCAACGCTGCTAAACAAAACAAAACGTTCAGATGTATTCATAGTGGCGGGTGACTTTAAAGCTCAGGTAAGCAAGCTAAGCGAATTGGAGAGGTATCTAGGGGTAGTAAAGGAATCCTATTTCAGTGAACCAACAACAATAAACGTCTGTTTGCAATTTTGTCGCGACAATCGCTTGTTTCTTACCAGCACTAACTTTAGGCATAAAGAGAGACATTGTCTCATGGTGTCCGCCAACCTAAAACCAACGATGGATCACATTGTTATCAGCCGTTGTTGGGGAGAATCGGTTAAGAATTGTCGCACTTCCAGAAGTTATAGTTTGAACTCAAACCGCGCTAGTAAGAACTAGTGTATGTCTGCATCTTACTTACTGCAGAAAACAACAGCGAGTGATGCCCGTCTGTGCCTAACTGATGGACGAAGACGCTAGGTATGTATTTAGGGAGAAGTTAGCTAAGCATGACAGCATTACTCATCCTGAGAAAACCCGGCGTAATATTAGGTCTACTATGGTAAACACAGTTGGTAGCATAATTGAGCTTCTGCGAAGTCATCCAAAATGATTGATGCGAGAAAAGTAATTCCACCAGCTGGCTCTGACCACAGTGGACAACAAAAGTAACTCAAACGTTGACTAAGAGTCTTTGCATTAATCACGAGCAGTGATAGGTAGGGAGAGCGAGAGACATCGAGAAGGCATCCGCAACCAAAGAGGCTAATTAATGGTTTTGGCAAGAAAGAAACGATGGTGAATGGAACCATCACTGAAGAGGATGGAACGCTGATAAACTCCCAAGACAGGTGGCCGGAACGTTGTACAAAATATTTTGAAGCAAAGTTCAACTGGTCCCCATTAACGCTTCAGCTGCCCAACATCCAGCCTGAACCCAAATGGGACGTAGATGTTGATGTCCAACTCTTCTTGAAGTTTAGAAGGCCATGTGGAACTTGGGACGATGCAAAGTAGCAGGACTTGACAGTTTGCCATCTGAAGTTCTCAGATTTGGAGGTAAAAAATTGTTAATTAAAGGGATGGAGGTACTAGGTAGTGTAGGAATCGTAAGTACCGCCTGGCTGGTCTACTACACCAATCACTCCTATCTATAAGAAAGGAGAGAAGCCTTGTTGCAACAACAGGGGAATTAGTTTGCATGTTGCTGTACTCAAGCCCCTGGGGTCCATAGTTATGTGACGCGTAACTGGAGCTCGAGAAGAGCAAACTCGCGAGAACCAGGTAGGATTCACACCTGGATGATGGTGTATCGATCACTTTTTCACCATCTACCCGCGGCCAACACCTACCATATTTATTGGCACAAAGGCGGTGGCATTTGACTCAACTAACTGTGAGGTGTTATAACTGTGTCTTACTATGGAGTACCAAACGGGTGTATAACGCTCATCAGAGCTCTCTACTCGAATTTACGCAGCCGTGTAAAGCATCATGAAGAGTTGTCATTGAAACTGACGATAACTAGTGGCGTCCGTTAGGGATGTCTACTGTTACCTTTCCTACTTACCTTCGTTGATGAAGTACAAATGGACATAACCCTACGTATGTCTGACTTCCCAGCGGCTGACCTCTCTGAAGTCGCCTGATCGACATGAATTATGCAGACGATATTATCCTTCCAGGTGGCAAAATGCACGGACTTCTGAAGGTATTGAGCAGAATTCTGAGTATGTTTGGCATGCGTTTCCTTGATAACCCTCAAAGATGATGCTCCAGGACTGGTCGACTGCAAATATCCCCAGTTTAATGATAGGGAGTGAAGTGGTGAAATATGTCAACTACTTCACTTACTTGGAGATTTGCATCAGCACTAACAGGCTGGTTGCTGACAGAACCTCAGCTCGGATACAAAAAGCCCGTTTAGCATTTAGCAACTTGCGTTGCCCGTAGCTCCGACTGGCGAGATATCCGACTCTCCATCAAAGGACGATTATACTTCGCTGCAGTCCGTTCTGTCCTTTTGTACGGCTGTGAGGCATGGCTGAGGACACTAAGTGACTACAGGGTCTTGATCACAGATACCTTCGTAGCACCGTTTGCGTTTGGTAGCATCACCGTGTGAGCAATGTTCAAGTCAGACGAAGTGTACTAGAAAAGGAAGGAAAGTCGATTGATGAGGTAGTGAACTTTCATGGGCTGGGATTGCTTGGACATGTACTGTGCATGCCCAGCCACCGCCTACCTCAACGTGCCGTACTAGGGGAAGCTGGGCTAGGTGGCAAAAGGGTTCAGGGTGGCCAGATCAAACCTAGCATCAGTTGGTGAGTTCTCTTACCGGTCCTCTGTTCCCTGTGGGGGTATGTTGTCTGCCTAGTTGGGATCCTAGAGACGAAAGGATTCAGTGAATGAGAACTCTTGATGACATGGTTGTAAATGGGTCACAGTGGAGTGTATGTATTTATTCTTTTACATCTTCCAAAGCTTTAGTATTTTCACTAAACGTTATCTTCAAATCACTTATTCTACCGCAAAGCTTTATCTTCTTTGATATCACTCCTCTTCTATCCACTTGTTCTTTGTATACTACTGTTAGCTGTATCAAGTTGAACCAATGCTCTTATGTGCAAGTTCTATATTGAACATGAATGTTCGAAATTCATAAACGGGACTAATTGTTTCAGACAGATAATCTTCTAAACTTTAACTAAAAAAATCTATTTATCCAGTTTTCACGTCACTTCAGACCATAGTAAGCAAATAAAAATGTACCTGTGCTTAGCGGAAAGTGAAAAAACGTGGTGGGCTGAAATTCACTAAATAGTATATTCAGAAGACTAGAGAGAATAGGAGCATCTGTAGTAATGTGTTTGAACCAGCTGTCTTAGACTGTTCAGCCAACTATTTCGTTTTTCGTCCATTCTTGAACCTAAATCTATACATTTCCTAAATGGTTCACGGTATCAATTACATACTTGACAAATGAGTGTAACACACAAACTGCAACAGAAATATTAGTGTAAGATTTCATCGTAAATACCGAAGCGTTTTTAAAACGTATATGTGACAAATATTAGCATCATATCATTTAGTAACATTTACTAAACTCATAAGGTTTTAACTTCCTTCTCACATCTGTAAGTGAAACATCTGTATAATTAACGCACCAATCTATAATGCAAAACATAGGCTTTGAAATTATTATTGTTCACATGTCAGTAACGTTGATGTTCGTTCTGTGATTTATTTTACAATCAGTGAGTTATCAACAATGCATATTTGCTTGAATTATAAAAACACCTTCAATGTTAACTTTACTTATTTGAAGACCCTCATAGATTATTTGGAACAAGAGTAATTTGAGTGAACAATTGTTTTCAATAACTTCTTCTTTAGGCTCTACAGTTATAAATCTATGAGAATAAGTGAAATAAAGTAGCCGAAATAAGGCATGATGTACAGTTTCACTGTATTGAGACAGTTAGTGTAATGGGTTAAAGGAGATCAAATCGAATGGAATGGTGGAACTGTTATCAGTCTAGTATGTTACTTGTGCAATGAAATCAATATTGACGGAACAATTGCGAAATGAGGAGACAAAATCTACAGATGATGATTCATTTACATACTTTTATTGGGGCATGAATGTGTGTGTATTTGTTTACTAAGGGTCAAATAATAATCATGTGGTGATGAGTTATATTCAGGTGGAATGAAGCTCATGTGAATACCATAACGAAATAGAGAATAACAAATGTGAAGTATCACTTCACGATTGAAAATGACTGCAGGTTGTGGTATGAATGAAGAAAATGAATTTTCATCAATGCAATGACGATTTAGAAGAAGAGAGTGGGAGGTTAAAATGTGCAACTTGTGGTAGCAAAGTTCATAAAAAACGTATCGACCCTGTTGTAGGTTAAAGTAAACACATAGGTCCGGTTTCCCTGCTTTGATCCCTATGGCTTCGACTGTGGATAAGAGGCTAAGTTGTGCACCTTTAGGGAGATTGCAAGGGACACGGTATATCACAGGAAAGGCGTGGTCTACCTTGATCTGATGTCCATTGTCTACCAAGACGGCATATGTTCACGAGCGCGCATGGATAGAGCCCTTTGAGTACGGTCTATGTAACTAGCTCCACAGGAGGAGTTGAAATCATAAATGCACACTGAAGTGGCTATCATGGTTAAAGTATCCTTGGTTCGCTGTTTCAGTGATGGTTTGGTTGAGAAGCTGACAAACAGTTTCGCTGCATTTTGACTGAACTAAAGAAGAAGTTATTGAAAACAATAGTTCGCTCAAATTATTCTTGTTCTGAATAAACTTTATTTGTTGATCAAATGAAGATTTTAGTTGAAATGTGTAATCTACTGAAAAACAGTCCTCAAAGATAACTCATATTAGTAAGCAGTTAATGCTAAACATGTCAAAGTTATCTTAATATGCAGTTATCGCTTCGCTCGTTATTTAATAATGTGTTCAGTATGATTAAGAAACTATTTGTTAGTTTGAAAAACGAAAATGTTCAAACATTTGCAGCTTGTTGAACAAGATTAGATTGCATTGAAATAAAGCTAATATATGAAGGTCTTCAAAGAGAGCTGTTAGCCTTTCATTCTCTTGCTTCGCTTATAGAATAAATTTACCTGACCTAAGATCCCAGAGAAAATTTCAATCATATTAGTTACAGAGAACTCTGTTTAACAAATTTATTCAATAAAACAGTCTACTATTGGGAAATGATCGCTTATTGTTTACTCTTCTACATTTTTCACTTCGTTCGTTCTTGATGCTGATATCAGTTGTTCTGCATATTTTGAGACAGAAAATGTATACCAACTGAATCAAGCTGAGTTCACCTCCGTTTATGTTACTTTGATTAAATAGAAAGTTATCACTAGTATTTACAGTTGCAACTAAGGAGGACCAAAGACCCTGATGATAGACCTAACTTGTTTGTTCAATTGTTAGTTTAGCATTTAAGAATACTTTATTTAACAAATGCAAACAGATAATTTCATTCTTATAAAAGTTCAAGTTAACAGGTGAAAGATTTACCTTTAAACTTTCTATTTTTGACATCAGCTGATGTTGTCTATCCCTTAGGAATTCTAATTGTCTGGTCAACTGAACTCTATTCAGCGGGATATTTTTATGAGAACACTCAGACATTGAATTTTCATTAAATTTACAGTATGAACTGACGTCTCTTGTACCAGAAGAAGATGTACTTGAGCCAGATATATTAGATGTTTGATTTTGGACTGCAAAGTTTAAAGGTAACTCTATACGAAGTGATCTTGGTGATAAGCAGGAACTTTGTACAAAATTTGAATGTTCTTTGAGTAGGCTTATAGCTTCGTTCGTCTTCACGCATTCAACTTGCAATCGACAGATTTCTTTGATGATTTCTCTAAAATTACAGTAAAATTCAGTTATTCTGATAGATGTTTAAAATCTTCTATTTGTATTTATTCAGAAAATATAAATTACTATGGCACTAACCATGAATCGGTTTGTTTGTTTTCCTCATACCTTTAAGCGATAGTCAACAAATTGAAATTATCAAATTTATGAATTTATGAATAAAAAGGCTCCGTTATTGACTTGTTATAGCCACTAAATCACCTAGTGAATATGTGGTGTAGAGTAGTATGTTAAGCATATTCAGTAGAAACCACCTCTTTCTGTCAAAAGCTTTTTGTATCATAAAAACTGAAATCAAATAATTAAATAAGTTTCTAATGAGTAGATCGAAAAACTATAGTGAACATTTATGCACAACCAGAACATCAGCACACCTCAATTTAATATCTCATTTACTTCGAAAGGGAGAATTCATCAGTGGTTTATAGAAACTGATAAATCTTTATTGCGGCATTTTTACCTATTGGCAGTACATGCTTATTGAGACTAAAGCACTCTAAATAAATTATGCTTTTCATGTTTTTAAAGAATCCACTAAAAAGTCTTAGATACAACAAAAGACATAAAAAATTGTATAGGAAGGTGTAAACAAACCTCGCTGACAGTGAGGTAGTGAAATCAGTTCACAGTGATTTCTTCTTTGTTTGACCTCGGACACCAAGTGTTGTGCGTATTCTGTAAGAATGACAATCTGAGTGTGTATCCAATGTAATTTCCTCTGAATCAATAATTTCTGTTTGCTTATTCATCTAACCTCAACTTTGCTTTACCAAAATCAGAAAACTGAGATAGCTTTACTAAACGTTATTCACACTACTCCAACTTGATATGAATTCAACCAACAATAGCGTTTTTCAAAAGATTAAGCTGTCCACATCATGCATGGTACGCTTAACAGACATTTACGGAGTAGTTAACACGATTAAACAACTTTTTATCTTCACTGATAGTTAGCAACTGAATTAAGTGTCAAATATCATCCTACGACTAGTCATGTCACTTTTTGGAACTAGAAATGATGTTTATTCGCGAAGCCTCAAAGGAGACTCAGAATACAGTAAACGTATTACGTCCTATTTAGTTATGTGTCAATTTTCAAGCAACTGTTGGAATAACAAAGGGTGCCTTTGAAGTGAATACAGGAGTAAGACAAGGTTACCGCCTACTGTCACCGACGATCTCCTTGATTATGATCAACTGGACTGGATCATGCAACAGAGAGCTGTGAGGAGCGAGAAAAGGGGCATACGCTGGCTGAACCGGTGAAAACAGTCTAGTGAATTGGGATTTCATCAAAGATGATTTACGTCAAATGACTTGTCTCACAAAGTCGAAGATCTACAGGCAAAAGCCAGCAAGTGGATAGAAGATGCAGGGTGGAGCAGCAAAGACGGGACATCATTCAGGTGAATGAAGAGAAGACGGGGGTGATGTAGATACCCGTCCAACAACAAAGAAAACAAGTACCAATCACCACCAATAGAAGAAACCTAAAGGAAGTAGTCTCTTTTACCTACCTACATCGGCAGCATCGTTTCAACCACAGGCGGTGGTGTTACAGATGAAGACTTGAAAGCCATGATCAAAAATACCACAAGACAGGCCTTCATTAACCTGAAATCAGTGGAGAGATCTACTGCACTGCACTACACTCGACATAAAGCGTTAACTACATCCGGATTTTCAACACTTAGTCAGTCGAATCAGTGCTTCTGTGTGGTGGTTGAGAGACTTGGCGTGTTACGAAAAGCACTTTTAACAAACTACAGACATACATCACATCAACAGCTGCCGTCTACGCTCACTAAATACTGAAGATGAGGTCAGATGGCCAGAATAACGAGAATAAGCAAGAAGGAACTGTGGCTAGCTGGCAACGAACCAAGTAAGAACCCATTGCCCAACAAATATGGAAAAGGAAGTGGAGATGGTTTGGATTGG